GTTGATGGCATTTCCCATGTCGTGCCACCATTATTGCGTTCCTTTTCCAGAATATTCCACCACCATTAGCGTCAACTCAGTGCCCCGCAAACAAAAGGTTCCCCTTTTCCCCTTTCCTTCTACCTATGGTAACACTAATGATCTTTGGATTCTATATATATTTCCTCTCCCATCCCCAACCTATCTAGGAAGTTTTCCTCCCCTCCCTTCCCATCCCTGGTAACACAGTCAAAGTTTCCTTCTATATATAAACCTTTCTTTGACTTTTTACAATAGTGAACTCATAAAATATTTATTCTTCTGTGATTATCTTTTTTCACTCAGCATAATGTCCTCCAAGTTCATCCACGTTATGTGGTATTTCACAGATTTGACATTACTCTTTAGTGTTGTATAGTATTATATTGTGTGTATGTACCACAGTTTGGTTGTCCATTCCTCAGTTTATGGACACTTAGGTTATTTCCATCTCTTTGCAATTGTGAATAGTGCTGCAGTGAACATTGTTGTTGTTAGGTGCTGTGGAGTCAGCTCTAACTCATAACGATGCTGTGTTCAATAGAACAAAACACTGCCCGATCCTGCACCAACCTCACAATCCATGCTATTCCTGAGCCCATCATGGTAGCCACTGTGTCAGTCCATCTCATTGAGGACCTTCCCCTTTTTCACTGACCCTCCACTTTACCAAGCACGATATCCTTCTCCAGGGAATGGTCCATTCTGAGAACATCACCAAAGTAGGTGAGGCAGCAGTGAACATGGGTGTGCATATATCTATTCATGTCTTGGCTCTCACTTCTTTAGGATATATGCCTAGTAATGGGATTGCTGGATCAAATGGTATTTCTATTTCCAACTTTTTAGGAATCGCCATACTGATTTCCATAGTGATTATTTCATTTTACAGTCCCACCTAATCTCTCCACATCCTCGCCAGCATTTGTCATTTTCTGTCTTATTGAGCTTTGCTATTAATGCTGGGGCAAGATAGTATCTCATTCTTGTTCTGATCTGATTTCTCTAATGGCTAGTGATAATGAACATTTCTTCATATTCATGCTGCCTGAATATCTTCTTTGGTAAAGACATGCCTGTTCATGTCTTCTGCCCATTTTTTATTTGGGTTATTTGTCTTTTAGTGTTGAGGTGTTGGAGTTTTCTACAAATTTTAGAGATAAGTCCTATGTCAGATAAGTTATGGCTGAGTATTTTTTCCCATTTTGTAGGTTCTCCTTTTACTGTTTTGGAGAAGTCTTTTAATGCACATATAAATTTAATTTTTAGAAGGTCCCAGTCATCTAGTTTATCTTCTACTGTTTGTGCATTTTGGGTTATGCTTGATAGTCTTATTTATGCCATAAATTAGGGCCCCTAAGTTTGCCTGTATTATTTCTTTGATGAACTTTACAGTTTTAGGTTTCACATTTAAGTCTTTGATCCATCTGGAGTTTGTTTTTGTGTATGGTGTGAGGTATGGATCTTGTTTCATTTTTCTGCAAAAGGGTATCCATTTTTGTCAGAACCATTTGTTAAAGAGACTCTCTCTTCCCCCATTGAATGGATTTCAGCCCTTTGTCAAAGATCAGCTAACCATAGATCGATGGATCTGTTTCTGGTTTCTTGATTCTGTTCCACTAGTCTATCTGTCTGTCATTGTACCAGCACCAGGCTGTCTTGTTGATTTTTTTTTTTTTTTCCTATTATTTTCTATTTTCTGTTTCATTTCTTTCTGCTCAAATCCTTATTATTTCTTTTCTTCTGGTGACTGTAGGCTTTTTTTTACTGCTCTTTTTCTAATTGTTGGAGATGTTGAGTTAAGGTACTGATTTTGGCTCTTCTTTTTTGATGTGTGCATCTGTTGCTATAAATTGCCCTCTGATCACTGCTTTTGCTGTGTCCCAAAGATTTTGGTATGTTGTGTTTTCATTCTCATTTGATTAAAGGAATTGTTTAATTTCCTTTTTTAATTTTTACATTACCCAGTGGTTTTTAAGGAGGGTGTTACTCCGTTTCCATGCATTTGTTCTTTTTCCATTGGTCTTCATAGTGTTGGTTTCTGATTTTATAGCATTGTGATCTGAGAAGAGGCTCTACGGTATTTCAGTGTTTTTGAATTTATTGGGGCTTGCTTTATGGCCTAACGTGGTTTATACTGGAGAATGTTCCATGTACTCTGGAAAAGAATGTATATTGTGCTATTGTTGAGTGGACTGCTCTGTCAGTGTATATAAGGCCAAGTTGGTTGACTGTATTGTTTATTTCTTCTGCATCTTTGTTGAGTTTCTTTCCAGTTGTTCTATTTTTTATTGAAAGTGGTATATTAAAGTCTCCTACTATTACCATGGAGTCATCTTTGTCTTTTCAGTTCTGTTAAAGTCTTTTTGTTTAGAAATGTCCTGATTTCACCACCATATTTGAGGGACCATTTTGCTGGGTATATGATTCTTGGTTGGCAGTGTTTTTCTTTCAGGGTTTTATTTATGTCATCCCATTGCCTTCTCACCTGAGTGTTTGGTTTTGGTGAGTTTGATTATTATATATCTCAGTGATTTTCTGTTGGGGTCTTTCCTTTTTGGGGTGTGTTAAACTTTTACAGTGGATATCTTCTTACCTTTCAAAAGGTAAGTGCTTTGACAACAAAGGCTATGCTGAAACCTAAAAACTCCATTGCTTATTTTGGTCCTAAGCATAAACTTTTACAAAGTAGCTGCCAAAGTAGCATCTTTCTTTGATACAAGAGTTAACTTTTGTAAAGCAGGGGGACTAGGTTTGCTGGTCCGATAGAGCCTGGTGGAATCACTGAGACTATGGCCCCTAGCTGCCCTTTAGGTCTGGAATTGAACCCCCACCTGTGGCTTCCAACCAAACAAAAGACAAGCATATGAGTTGAATATTTACCTCGGGTAGATACGTTCCTTGGAGAGAACAATCATGGGAGAAAGAAGGGCTGCTTGTGCACAGGGAGACAGCTCAGGGGGCAGGAGTGCATGGAGGGATGGACACTGGGAAGTGGTCACTGGGGAGGAAGTGGGAGGGGAGCTGTTGCATTGTGGTAAACTGTGGTCAATGTCATGAGACAAAGTGTTTGTCTGAACTGCTGTATGGAAAGTGAATCTACTCTGTAAATCTTCACCCAAATCACAATAGGAAAGAAAAAAAAAAAGTTGACTTTTATAAAGAAAACCTTTCCTTTTTTTCAACCCTCTTACCTTTTAGGCGTTTTGGAATAATGGGACTCTACAAAGGCTTGGAAGCCAAGCTACTGCAGACAGTCCTCACTGCTGCTCTCATGTTCCTTGTTTATGAGAAATTGACGGCTGCTACCTTCACTGTGATGGGGCTGAAGAATGCAGGCAAACGCTGAGTCTGTCACCTTACCTGGAAACATACAGAGAGATGCTCAAGATGGAGTTTCTTTCTGAAATAAGAACTGAGTGAAAGAACTAGTTCTCCTACTCTCGTTCCTTCCACCATGAATTATACCCCCACTGACTTGAAAAGCATTTAAGGTTAGACATGAAGTAGAGCCAGCTGGGCCTTTTGCCACCTGAATTTTTATTATGGTTGGTTGGATATTTGTGGGAGAGGTTGGACTCTAATGATCACCAAAAGAAGACACTAAAAACCTAAAAATGAACATTTGTGGGGATTTATTGGTTTTCTTAAGGGGAGTGGACTGTTATTCTTATGTGTAATCTTTTCCATTTAAATTTACCAGCTGTTCTCTTTCCCTGAGCTGTTCTCCAGCTTCTCAGACAGATTTAATAAGATTTAATCCTGCTTATAAACTTCTATATGTCTTAAATGTGGGTGTTTTCCTCACTAAAACAACTAGTTATTTTTGTTGGGATTTCTCTCTCCTGCTAAAGGAGAATTGTCTTCTTTAGCACATGAGGTATTTATTTTGTAGGGAAATGAAAATTATTAATCTCATGATTTTCTTCTAAACCATTTGTAAACTTCACTTACTCATTAGTCTTCGACATATTTTAAAAGTATTTGTTTTGAATCAACTCTTTGATGACAAAAGGCTTGAGAATTTGAGGCTTTTGTGTCTACAGCCTCAGTCAGTCAAGCTTCAGTAAATTGCACAAAAGACATTTTTGAAAGTTGCTTTTTATTAAAGTCTTACTTTGAGTTTGCAACCAAATGGTATAAGTCACAAAAAAAAGGAGGTGGGGGAAAAAATAATAAATAAAAAGGGAGGTGGATACCTTGTTTGGGCTCTGGAATATTCTCTCCCTTTATAAACTCTTGATGGGGAACTGTGTATTTTGAGACTAAACATCTGATAGAGGTTATTCTTTTTGGGAGTATTCCTTAGAGTCCTGCAAAAAAGTGTGATCTGTTACGCAGCGACAGTGACATCACTTGGGAGATTGTTGGACACACAACGTGTCTTCTGAATCATATTGTTTAGTTTAACAAGGTCCCCAGGTGATGCATACTCACATTAAAGTCCAAGAGACCTTGGAGCCTCTGGTCCAACAGGCAGATGCTTGGTTTCAATTACAGAAACCAAGACAAAGGTCTTTCTCAAAGGAGAGGCTGACTGATGTATAAAAACAATTTCTGAAAGAACTAGGGATCCTGCATAGAGCATTCTCTGCTTTCAGTGCTGTGGTAGTTAAGGTTATTGTCAACTTGGCTGGCCCTGGTTGAGTGGCTGGGCAGCTGGATGTAGTTACTCCCCATGGTGAGATTGGCAGTCAACTCCATGGTGGAATCCACTGGAGCAGCTGAGTAGCTAATTTTAGGGATGTGGTCTTCTTCCAGTCTATAAGAAGCAGCTTTCAGGAAGGTCGCCAGCTTTCTGGGACACTCGAATCCTGCATGTGGCCAAGTCATTATTCAGCAACCTGCCATGCCCTGCCAGTCTTGGGATTTTTTCTGGACTTGAATTAGTGGCCTGCCGTGTGGTTTGGTAACACCGGGACTGTGCCTTCTCACTTGTTGACCTTGGGTTTGTCGGCCGCAGCAGCCAGGTGCTGCCTGAATGAAGAAAAGCCTCTAGCTTCAGTTGGCCGAGAGCAAGAGGCAGAGCTGAAGCCCAAGGTCAAGGGGCTTTTACCCAGCCCCTAAAGCCTGGCACTTTGGACGGACTTTGCGCCTCCAAAACTGTAAGAGAATTGTTAAAGCATCCCATTTGTGGTATTTCTGTCAGAATGGCACTAGGTGACCAAAACAAGTGCATAGCCCATTGTTGAGGTGATAGGATGTTTATCTTGTAGCCATTGTTGGTTGTTGTTAGGTGCCGTCCAGTTAGTTCTGACTCATAGCAACCCTGTGTCCAACAGAATGAAGCTGCCTGGCTCTTTGCCATCCTCACGGTCATTACTGCACTTGAGCCCACCATTGCAACCACGGGGTCAGTGTATCTCATTGAGAGTCTTCCTCTTTTTCACTGACCCTCTATTTTCCCAAGCATGATACCCTTTTCCAGGGACTCGTCCCTTCTGATAACATGACGAAAGTAGGTGAGACAAAGTCTGACCGTTCTCGCTATTAAAGAGCATCCTGGCTGTACTTCCTCCAGGATAGATTTTTTCATTCTCTTGGCTGTCCAGGAGACGGCTGCTACCTTCACTGCGATGGGGCTGAAGAATATTTTAATTATTACTTACCAATACCACCTTCAATACCATCAATTCTCAGTCATATGCTATCTCCTGATATGGTTGAACATCAACAAATTCTTTTTGGTACAGCTCTCTGTGAATTCCTTCCATCTTCTTTTGATGCTTCCTGCATCATTCATTACTTTGCCCATGTTATTGTAGGTCCCATCAAGTCAGCTCTGACTCATAGCGACCCCGTGTACAGCAGAATGAAACCCCGCCTGGTCCGGTGACATCCTCACAGTCCTTGCTATGCTTGAGCCCATCGTTGTAGCCACTACATCAATCCATCTTGTTGAGGGGCTTCCCCATTTTTTGCTGACCCTCTACTTTACCAAGCATGATAGCCTTTTCTAGGGCATGGTCCCTTCTCACAATATAACCACCAGCCTTCTGGTTAGCAGTGAAATGCCTTAGGCCTTACGCCACCAGAGCTCCTGTGACCAAAGTAGGTGAGATGAAGTCTGGCCGTTCTCGCTTCCAGGGAACATTCTGGCTGTACTTCTTCCAGGACAGATTTGTTCATTCTTCTGGCAGTCTGTGATATTTTCAGTAGTCTCCACCACCACAATTCAAAGGCGTCGACTCTTCTTCAGTCTTCCTTACTCACTCTCTAGCTTTCACATGCATGTGAGGCAAATGACAATACCAAGGCTTGGATTAAGCACACCTTAGTCTACAAGTGACATCTTTGCTTCCCAACACTTTAAAGAGATTTTTGACAGCAGATTTGCCCAGTGCAATACAACGTCTGATTTTTTGATTTCTGCTGTTCCGTGGGTGTGATTGTGGATCTAAGTAAAATGAAATCCCTGGCAATTTTCAATCTTTTCTCCATTTTTCATGATGTTGCTTATTGGTCCAGTTGTGAGGGTTTTTATTTTCTTTACGTCAAGGTGTAATTCCATACTGAAGACCATAGTCTTTGATCTCCATCAGTAAGTGCTTCAAGTCGTCTTCACTTATTTTGCCCACAGAATCCTTCAGTATTACCACTGGAGGCTTGATTTTTTCTATTATGTGACTAGGAGTGAATTTAGGCATCTCAAGCCACTCAAGAAGCCAGTTCTCTTGTGATGTTAGTAGAACAACTCATTGGGTTTCTGTGACCTAGTTTTTGTCTCCCTCACAGAATGACAGTTTTTTCTCTTACCGTACCATCAGAGTCAGGGGCAATAGCATCCAAGGCCTGCAGTATGCAGCTCAGTTTTGAGGTGGGGATTTCTTTCTCTTATTTCCCTTCTTTGTTCCTAGTGGTAATTTCAGAGAGTGTGATTATTGAGCTAGTGGTAATTTAAAGATCATTTTGTTCTAGAAAAGAAGAATTAGAAGAAGTGAATAATCTGGAAGCTAATCTGAACATGTGTTCCCTATTTAAGCCAGAGGAGTGAAGACAGAGAAATGGCCCAATTACTACTTTATATTTTAATTTAAGGTGTGTGTGTGGTGGGGAACACATGACTTTTTTTTTAATGTTTTATTGTGATGTGGCTGAAATTTTACAAAGCAGACACTCATTTTGCATTTCAACAGTTCATTCAACAACTATTATTCTGATGCCTCTACAGGAGAAAAATTATCATAAAGGAGCCGTATGTACCTTTGTTGTTGTTTTAATTACATTGTTAGCTTTGAGACTTGAATTTTTGAGGTCATGTTGGTTGGTATATGATGAACATTTGCAAGTCAAATTGTACAGCTATATTAGTTATTCATGATGTGAGATTGTATTTGATGCTATTTTTTTCCCCTTGATTTTATGAGGGAACAACTTCATAAGGAGGTTTTACATTCTTTGTAGAAGTTTATAGACTCAGTAATTGAAATGAGGTAACAGCTAAGCTAGTTTTGTAATCTTCAACCATAAGTTGTTTGGGAAAGCTAAAGAATTAGATAGAATCCATTCTAGAGAAGTGGAATTTTTTTTCTTCTGATTTTTTTATGCATTTTCTCTAGACTGTGAGAATTAAGAACCTTAGAGAATACGTTCATGTCACTGTGGTTGTTGTTGTTATGTGCTGTCGAGTCGGCCCCGACTCATAGCGACCCCACCTTGGGTTTCCGAGGCAGTATCTCTACGGAAGTAGATTGCCCAACCTTCCTTCCGAGGAGTGGCTGGTGGGTTTGAACCGCCAGCCTTCTGGTTAGCAGTCAAGTGCTTTAGCCACTATGCTACCAGAGCTCCTGTCACTGTGGTAGAAAACTTAATTTCTAAAAGCGTTTGTGTTTCGGAGTGGACACTGCAGTAATGCTATCTTGTCTGTTTTACATTTAAGTTTGAAATGCAAAAATAGGATTTTACCATAAAAACATAAACAGTGGGGGGATAAAAAAAAGAAGATAAGCAGTGGGAGTTAGAAATCCTTTGGCTTTTTATATCTCTAGCTCTTCCACTGAATAGCAAGTTACACCATCACCTTGTGCTGCAGCTTTTTGATAAATGGAGATAATAATACCATCCACTTCAGAGGATGTTTGAGAGTTAATGATGTCAGCTAAATCCCTTTATGATCGTGAGATCGCGGAGAGCTGAATGAAACTTGTGGCAATGCGTTAGATTTATAAAGTAATTTCCCTTTGTAAAGCTTGCACACATCTTCTTGTTATAATCCCAGTATCTTTGTGAAATAGGTAGGGAAAAGCAACAGCATCTCCTTTTAATTAACAAGGAAATGGAGACAGAGCTATCAGATGACTTCCCTGGTGGGAGTCAAGACTAGAGTTTTGTTTCCTGCAGTCTAATGTA